TTATATAAATTAAAGTATTAATCAAACAGTGTGTACTTTTTACTCATCCTATGCCATGCCACACAGAAATCTAGGCATTATCCCAGACTCCCCCTTCTTCCTATCACAGTCCCCACATTCAATAAATCACTAATTTCTCTGAAATATAAGAGTTTAACATCTCTTGAACCCATCACTCTCTTCCACTTATTTCTCTCCATCTCCACTATCAATACTATTGTATAAATCGGTTAATCCTGTCACCTAGATCCTCCTAACTGGTTTCACTACAGTCCCTCCTGATGCTCTCCAATCCAGCCCTCACACTACAACCAATGTGATTGTTTAAATTTTAAAAAAAATTTAAAATAATCATGTAATTCCCTTGCTTTTATTAAAACCCTTCAATGATTTCCCAGAGTTCTTAGGATAAAGACCAAAATATTTAACATGGTCTACAAACTCTCCCACATCCTACTTGGTGTTGTTGTTAGGTGCCGTCGAGTCGGACCTGACTCATAGCAACCCCTCCTTGGGTTTCCCAGGCAGTATCACTACGGAAGTAGATTGCCCCATCTTCCTTCTGAGGAGTGGCTGGTGGGTTTGAACCGCCAGCCTTCTGGTTAGAAGTCAAGTGCCTTAGGCACTATGCTACCAGAGCTCCCACATCCTACTTAGAGACTGCAAACTCAACAATGATCAGGTGAAATATTGATTCATTAGATTTACTTATCTGATACCTTAATATACTGGCATATCATGGAGAGCACAAAACCAAAAAAAACCAAACCCACTGCCATCCAGTCGATCCCAACTCACAGCAACCTTTATTGGGTTTCCAAGGTGGTAAATCTTTACAGAAGTAGATTGCCCAGTCCTGCTTCCACAGAGCAGCTGGTGGGTTTGAATTGCCAACCTTCTGGTTAGCACTCAGCTACCTTAGTCACTGTGCTACCAGTGCTCCTTATAGAGAGCATATTCCCCTCGAAAGCAGCAGGTCATTTCCAGATGAGCGTTGCCACCTGAAATCAGATTTGAGTGATGCTATACCATCTATTTTTTAAGAAAACTCAGAAATTCAGACTTTTATATAAGATCTCCTGACTAGTAAATGCTGGCAACTAGTTGAAACATTTGGAACAACATGGAGGCAAAATAATGTGAAAGCAGGCTGAATGTTATCACTCATCTAGTCTCCTCACCTTGCCCTACACTCATATTCTCTACACTGCTCTACTGAACATTTCTCAGAATGATGCCATGCTTTCTTTTACCTCAGGGTTCTTACATATGTTGTGCCTTCTGCTTTGCCAATTTTCCTCCAGATCTCTAAAGAACTTAGCAATCTACTTATTCTAAATTTCTAACTCATCTCTTTCTCACTGAAGCCTTCCCTAATTTCCATTGCCCTTACTTACCCCAAGGGCTAGTTTCACCCCACCATATGCACTGGGTACAGCTTAATAACACCCAGCATACCTCAGAAATAAAATTATTTAATATTTGTCATTTCTCCCTAGGTGGGAAGCTCCACAAAAGCTTATTATTATCATTGATAATAATACTAGCCAACATCTACCAAGCATCTGTTAAATGCTAGGAACTATGTTGACCACTTTGTACATATCATCTCATTCAATATAGCAACTATATGCCACTGTCATAAAGAAGAAACCTAGACACAGAGAAATGTTAAAACTTGCTCAAATGAGCCATCTAGATGCAACAATGGGTCTCTCCTCATCTGGAACAAAGAAGAATGAAGAAAAGCAAAGATGCTTGGAAACAATAAGTCCAAGAGACTAGTAGACCATGCAATCCTCTGCCTAGATGACCATGAGACCAGAAGAAGTAGGTGGTGCCCAGCTACCACTGTCAAACCACTCAGAAAGGAATCAGTGCAGGAGATCCTGCACAGAATGGGAGAACAATATAGAACAAACATTTTTCTTATTTGTTATTAGAAACAAATTATTTTCACAATAATTTAAAAAAAAAAAAAAAAGACCAGGTTTACTGGTCTGATAAAGCCTAGTGAGACCCCCGAGACTATGACCCCTAGTTACCTTTCATGTCTGGAACTGAACTCTCTCCTGTGGCTTCCAGCTAAACAACAGACAGGCATATAAAATGAACATTTACATCAGGTAGATATACTCCTTGGCGTTATCAATCACTCAATCAATTGATTAATCAATCGTGGGAGAACAGAGGGGCAGTGTTTGCACAGGGAGATAGCTTGGCAGCGGAGTGCATAAGAGGGAAAGACGGGGAAGAGGTAATTACAGGGAGAAGAGGAAAGAGAGCTGTTACACTGTGGGGAATTCCAGTCAACGGCATGAAACAAAATGTATACGAATTGCTGTATGGGAAATGAATTTGCTCTGTAAACTTTCACTCAAATCACAATAAAAATTAATAAAATAATAAAAATAAAAACTTGCTAAAGATCCCACATCTCATCCATGACAAAACAGGACATGAATCCAGAGTCTGCTCTACAGCTTATGCACCAAACTATATTAAACTAACTCATAAATTAAGAAGAGCTAATTCAACAAGTATCTCTGAAGGACAATGAATAAGAAGATACAATAGCCATGATTTATTTTCCATTACTTATCAGTTAAAGTAAGGTCCCTCCATCCCTTCATCCTGCATCCTTTCCCGAAGGCAAAATTAAGATAAATTGTCAATTTGTATTTCCCAAATTAAGAAAGATGGGTTTTTTACACCAAAATAGGTATGATCTTGAACTAACAATTCTGTAAAAATGCTTTCTGAATTTTTTTAGTAAGTTACTATTTATCTATTAATGTGATGTTTTGTGTTTCTACATTTTAAACTTATATCTGATTAATCTCTGATTTTAAATGGATTTTAATCTTAAAAGAATCATTCTTATCACTATAGACTATGTTTTCAGATATACTAAGCGACAAGATAAAACATACTAAGCAGATATAAAAATATACTGATATAATCACAGAAATATACATAGAGATAATACAGAAATTCCTAGCTACACATTCATTTTTTGAATGCTGGCTTTCCACAGATTCAAATAAATTCTCAAATATATCACCTACTAGCCAAACTCTTATTGCTTACTATCCAAAACTCAGGATTTGGGTCACTCACCATCCCTTCCCATCAGAACACAATACCCAATCTCTCACTTTCCATAATTCAGGAAACCAAAAGAAAGTTTTAGAAAGCAAGATTGGATATACATACATAGTTAGAGGCTACAGAAATGTAAGAATTCTTGCTTAAGCAGTGAATAAAATGTGAATAATGTGAATAAAATGCACATATCTATATTTCCATTGAAATTGTATATTATAACTCAGCTTAACAGAGAATTTTTTCATATAAATGTTTTTAAACTAGAATATGACCACATTTTTTTAACCTTTAGGACACACTTAAAATATATAGGAAACTTTTTTATATATGATAGCTTACTATAATGACAATTAGATAGTGTTAATGCATGGCTGCTGTCAAAGGGCTCTGAAGGCAGTCCTAACATTTTTTTTCCTAAATATTCATCATAGGTTATTTAAGAACAATAGAAAATGTTTTCAAGGAAAGCAGTACTTTCAGAGTTCACTTTTCAGCATATTTCACAGATCTCATCAGTATTTTTCTCTAAGTCACAAAAAACAATGAGCAAAATAGAAGAAATAATTACAAAACATACAGAAGTTGGAAATGATGGTCAAAATTCCATATTCACTTAGTTACAGAAGAATGGCATGAAATAACCCCTATTTTAGAAGTAACTACTCTGTAAGGTTCAGCCAAAAGTCAAAAAACCATTAAGCAAGTAATGAACTAAGTTGAAAAAAGGAAAAACCAGCTCTCATTACAATAGTACATTTTCCCAAGTATGTAACTTAGCCTAATATTTGAACATAAGCTTTTGCAAAAAATTAAGAACTGATCACTTAATAAACTAATTTATAAGGTTATTTTTAAATGCATAAATCAATACCTTGCCTTTATAATAAAGTTAGAACAAACGCTGGTCAAAAACAGAATTCAAACATATGATTCCCCCACACACACACATATATTCAAGAATTATTTGAAGAAATATGGAAAACAGGAGAAAGATTCAGTAGGTGGGAAAAAAGAACTGTAGGTTTGGGAAAAGTAAACTACGTACCCAAATTCTTCTTTTTAGTAAAAAATGTGTAAATAATTTTAAAATACTCTAACCAGAGTTCCCATTTTAAAGGAGCCATCTAGAGAGCTCTAGTCTCCTAAGAAAGACCTCACTTTAGATTTGGTAATCTGAAAGAATGTGAACTCCTTAATGTCCAAATCTAAGTAAGACCAATTGTAATGGTTACTTGACACAGTCCACCTCTCAATTTGGAAATAAATAAATAAATCGGAGCAAAATAAACTTAACAACAAAAAACAGACCTAAATCTTGTCTACAAGACTCACAAATTGAGTAAGAAGCAATGGTAATTTGAACTTAACTGAGTCCATATAGATCACCAACACACCTCTCTTAAAATACCATTAACTGGAATATTTTCACACGTTGAAAGAAAAAAAAGTATATTCTGTCCAAGAGTGTCTTCCTAAAAAGCCAAGACTCACTACTAATCTTGAATGACAAGCCAGAGAAAGAGAACAAACCTACAGGGGTTGTCAAGGTTCCACCTATGGAGGGAACAACATATTCTGAAAATATTAAGGCGCAGCATATGTCACTATTTCTTTAGGTGAAGTTCTCATATCTCTATTCCCAACTGTCCACATCAGACACAACCTCTGTGAGCATAAATGTCTCCTATATAAAAGAAGGCGCTGACCTTCAGATGAGGCTCTAAAGATTGCTTAAAGCCTTGGTTCCAATTCAGCCAGTTCTAAAATAAATACACAATTCTCAAGACTTAAGGAAAATAACATCATACTGCAAAAAAGAAAAAGAAACTGATACAATAAACTACCCCTTGCTCAGCCAAATGTTAATGCCAGAACTTCAGACACAAACAAACCTGTGTCTATGTTCATCGGGTCCATGGATCAGGAAGACTCCAGGGTTTTTAGCTCCTTTGCCGGCCTCTACATGAGGAATTAACACATCTTCCAAACCTAGATCAAAGCGTTTGTGTTTTGACGAGTCTGGAAGGAAGAAGAATGCCCCAAAACACAGGGTGATGAAGGCACTAAGAATAAGGAGAAGAATAAACTTCTCGGAGAGTCTCAAGGTAGCCCTGTGGTGTGGGAAGGAGGGCGGCCCCAGGTTCAGAGGCGGTATTCTCCGTCCAGACAGGGGCAATAGGGCTGGGGTAGTCATCGTTCACGCTCTTGGATAAAATACTTCATAAAGTTCTCATCTTATATCAAATATACAATACATTGCACACAATCTTCTAAATTTTAAAAAAAAAAAAAAAAAATGGGGGAACTCAATGTTTCTTAAGGGACTGTTGTGCTTTTTATGAGGGCTCCTCTTTCATGCTCCTCCAATTACAATCACAAACTTGTGCGACCCCCAAACGATCACTAGTGTGTGTCCAGTGTTATCTGCCTTGCCATACGGGTTACTGCCCTCATCGGTTTATTACAAGTCTCCTCTTCATTCCTACGGGCAGATCAAGCAAGCAACACTGCAGAAAAGATGCAAGGTGGGTTCTTCCATTCCTGCTCCCCACGGAGATGCTCAAATGTGCTTTCCCGCCCCAAAAGGGGGGCCTTACGTGATCCTGGAGTTGCAGACGATTCACTCAACCACCTCTGGTGCTTCTAGTCTTTAATTCTTTAACCTTGGTGCAGGGAAAAATCAGGATCTCTTCAGAAGTCTGCGAATACGAAGAAAGGTCTGCCACCTCCCTGGGAAGCCAAAGCAGCGGCGCTGGATGAACTAGAAGGAAAGAGGTCTTCTCCGATGCCGGCACCTCCAGACGCTGCCTTGCAGGCTCGTGCGCCGGGGGGGTGCTCTGATGCCGCCCCCTCGACGGCGGCGCGAAGGGCAATCGGGTCCAAAATACCTGAGCCCTCCAAGCCACGGCGGCAGCTGCAGTTGCTACCGCACGGGTCTGTCAGAGAGCGGAACTTCCTCCTCCGCCACTGAGGAGTCCGGTGGGGGGGGAGGGGAGGAGCAGCGGCCGCCCCCGCCCAGCTCCTCCTCCTCCTCCCGACCGCCAGTTGAGTTAACCCCGGTGCCTGGTGCCCGCGCGAGGCCGCCGCTGACCCCGCCGTGTCCGGCTGCAGTGACCAAGCTCCTGCGGCCCCGCGGCGGGGGAAGGAGCCGAGCCGCGGGCACTCAGTCCGAGAGCCCCAGCAGGCGCCTGCTCATTCTTCGCTCAGCGCCGAGGAGGCAGCGGCCCTGGGCGCGCGGGACCAGCCACGCCTCGAGCAAGCAGAGATCGGCTCCGTGTCTCCCTTGCGGCCGCTGGCCGCTGTGGGGGCCTCCTCAACTCTACCTCCGGTCGCTCGCGGCCCCTCGCTCTGGCGGCAGCGGCTGCGGGAGAGACAGCGCGTCCACGCGGTGCAGGACTGCGGCCCGGGCCTCGTTCCCTGCCTCCCTAGGCCGAGTGAGCGCAGAGCAGCTGTGGGGCCGATACCCGTTGGGCTTACGTCTGAGAGGGACCTGGAGTTGGGGAGGGGATGGGGCGCGGGCCGACTCGCCGGCCCCTCGCGAGTGGGCGTCCCCGGGCGGCGGAGTGTGAGGTGCGCGCGCACGCTCCCGGCTTCGCCGCCGCCCCTCCCCCGCCCCTCGCCCGCGCTCTGGCCTCGCGCCGCTGCGGGCTCCCCGGAAGTGTCCCACCGCTCCAGGCTGAGCATGCGAGGAGAGAAAGTCGACGGTCTGCACTTCGCTGATAACTTTTCACCTATGCCCCATAGCCTTGGTCTCGCCACTTCCTTTGATTGACCCGGAATTTGGATGAAAGGCTCAGGTCGCGAAGGTATCCCTAGAATTAAAGGTTACTGGAATTAACGGTTTGTGACAACTAAACTCAAAAAAAACAACGCAGCCAGTGCCTTGGAGTCAAATCCGACTCATAGCGACCCCTCCTTGAGTTTCTAGGCAGTATCACTACAGATGTAGATTGCCCAACCTTCCTTCCGAGGAATGGCTGGTGGGTTTGAAGGCCAGCCTTCTGGTTAGCAGTCAAGTGACTTAGGCACTACACCACCAGAGCTCCTTGACAACTAAATTAAATCTTGCTCCATGAAAGTCTTGTCTTCAGTTATAGACGATTGGTTCCTAGAGTTCAACGACAGAATCTTAAACTTCTTCCATGGGGCCTGTGGCACCTGAGGCTCAAGCTGTATGTATTGAGCACTACCCAGGTGCCAGGCTATGGTAAAATGAAAATGACTATCTTCCCTTTTCAATTAGGTTATCTTCCTGAGGAATCTAAATACCCTCTATGTGACAGGAGGCTATGGTTCAGTTTATAGAAAACATTGTGTATCATCACACTCCTCACTCTACACAACCCCTCCCCAATAAAAACAATGATAGTGAATAAAAAATACTGAAACCCAACAATACTAGTTACATTTGGGCTTAAGAACCACCTGAATCAATTCTGTTATTTATGGTATTGGAAACAGCCATTCTGCAATTAAGTCCAAAAACTCTATTTGCAATACATATGTACTCTCTGGCAATTTACTTTTTGATTGTGTTTTATCCTAAATTTTACCATAAATTGTGATTCCCTCTACACGTCCTTACTGATGATGGAATTAAAAAAGACAAGAAGCCCTTGAGTGGCAGGAAAAGCTATCAGCCTTAAGTTTAAAATGAAACAAACATCATGTTCATTGGCACAATTCATATACCTACATTCCAGTCTCTACTATTTCCAGAAGCTCTGCATATCTACCTACCATATGACATAAGAAGTCATTGGCATTGACCCTGCTTTGCCAAATAAAGACATAAAAATGTTAAGGGCCATCTCTCCAGAGTTCACTCACACAGGTTGGCAGTTGTTATGTGCAGTCGAGTCGGACCTGATTCATAGCGACCCCTCGTTGGGCTTCTGAGGCAGTATCACTACGGAAGTAGATTGCCCCCTCTTCCTTCCGAGGAGTGGTTAACAGTCAAGTGCCTTAGGCACTATGCTACCAGAGCTCCCCAGGCTGGCACTAAGAGTGCCCAATCCAAAGATCCTTGTGTTGGGCACTTGTGAAAATGTAAATGTAAGAAATTCTCTGCCCTCCCAGTGTGTCTATAAATTGTGCCAATTGTATGATTAAGTCTCTAATTCTGAGCCACTTATAAGCCAAAGGAAAAGAAATACTTTGGTTTCCTATTGAAGATCATTATTTTCCATGGAAAGATCAGGAGAAATAAATATTGATTGAATGAAATACCAAGTTATGTAAGTCTTGAAAAGTAAATATAACCTAGGTTGATACCTGTAATCGTTAAGGTTATATGTCAACTTAGGTAGGCCATGATTCTCAGTGGTTTGGCAGATACTATGTAATCCTCCATTTTGTGGTCCAATGCTATTAGCCAATCAGTTGAAAGGGAGCTTTCCTTGGGGTGTGGCCTGCATCCAATATATATGGATGTTCTGGCAAAGTTTTCTTACTAAATTCTGTGTAGGACATGTCATCCTCTTACCTCTAGTTCTTGAGACATGGGCCACCAGCCTGCTGCTTGACCTCTACATTTTGGGTTCATCAATCCCAGCAACCACATAGATTAGCAGCCTGAGGCCTGACTCACAGATTTGGGACTGGCCAGCATCCACAACTGCATAAGCCATTTCCAAAGAAGGAAGGAAGAGAGGGAGGGAGGAAGATATATATTCGCTGGTTTTGTTCATCTAGAGAACTCAGCCTAAGACATTTAGTACCAGGAGTAGGTTCTACAGGAACAAAATCACAGGATTACTTTTCTGAATTGGTTCTCAAGTCTGGCTAGTGTTAAAGGTATGGATGACTCTGCCTACAGTAGTAAATCGGGCACTACTAATCCATAGCATGAGGTTGTTGTTAGGTGTCATGATGTAGGTATCAACCCATAGTGACCCTAAGTACAACAGAACAAAACAGTGCCCAGTCCTGGCCAACTTCAGAATCTTTGCCATGCTTGGTTGCAACTACTATATAAATCCATCTGGTCCAGGGATTCCATATTTGGCTGACCTTTAACCTAGCATGATATCCTTCTCCAGGGACTGGTCCCTTCTGACGACATGATCAAAGAATGAGAGACGAAGTTTGGGTATTCTCACTTCTAAAAAGCATTTCATCCATACTTCCTGCTAGACAGATTTCTTTGTTCTTCTAGCAGCCATGTGGTTGTGTTGTTGTTATGTGCCGTCGAGTCAAACCCGACTCATAGCGACCCCTCCTTGGGTTTCCGAGGCAGTATCACTACGGAAGTAGGATTGCCCAACCTTCCTTCCAAGGAGTGGCTGGTGGGTTTGAACCGCCAGCCGTCTGGTTAGCAGGCAAGTGTCTTAGCCACTATGCTACCAGAGCAGCCATAGGTACATTTAATACTCTTCACCAGCACTACAAGTGCTTCAGTTCTTCGGTGGTTTTCCTTATTCATTGTCCACCTCTCACATTCATATGAGGCTATTGAAAATACCATGGCTTGTGTCAGGTATACCTTAGTCTTCAAAGTTACATCTTTGCTCTTACACACTTTAAAGAGGTCTTTTGTCCAGTTTTGTGCAATATATTACATCATTTGATTTAACTGCTGCTTTCATAGGTGTTGATTGTGGCTCCAAGTAAAAAATGAAATCCTTGACAACTTCAGTCTTCTCCATTTATCATGATATTGCTTATTGGTCCAGTTGTGAGGACTTTTTTCTTTATGTTGAGGTATAATCCATACTGAAGGCCATAGTGTCTGATCTTCATCAGTAAGTGTTTCAAATCTTCCCTTTTAGCAAGCAAGGTTGTGTCATCTGCATATTACAGGTTGGTAATGAGTCTTCTGCCAATCCTGATGCCATGTTCTTCATATAAGCCCAGCTTCCTGGATTATTTGCTCAGCATACAGATTGAATAAGTATGGTAAAAGACTGAATAAGTATGGTGACACATCCTTCCTGTTTTTAAAACCATGCAGTATTCCCTTATTCTGTTAGAATGACTGCCTCTTGGTCTATGTACAAGTTCCTCATGAGCACAATTAAGTGTTCTGGAATTCCCATTCTTGGCAGTGTTGTATATAATTTGTATGATCCATAATTTGTTAAATGTCTTTGCATAGTCAATAAAATGCAGGTAAACATCTTTTTGGTATTCTTTGCTTTCAGCCAAGATCCATCCAAGAACAGCAAGATACTCTCATTCTACGCCCTCTTCTGACTCCAGCTGGAATTTCTGGCAGTTCCCATCAGGTGTACTGCTGCAGACATTTTTGAATTATCTTAAGCAAAATTTTATGTATGTTCAATATTACTGATATTGTTAGCTAATTCCCACACTCTGTTGGACCACCTTTCTTTGGAATGGGCACAAATATGGATATCTTCCAGATGATTAGCCAGGAGCTGTCTTCTAACACATAAATGAGCAAATGCCTCCAGTGCTGCATCCATTTGTTGAAATATCTCAATGGTCATTCTGTTGATCCTTGGAGGCTTTTTTTTTTTTTTTTTTGCCAATTCCTTTAGTGCAGCTTCAACTTCTTCCTTCACTACTATCAGTTCTTGATCATATGCTACCTCCTGAAATGTTTGGATTTTGATCAATACTTTTTGGTTCAATGGCTCCGTCTAGTCCTTCCATCTTCTTTTGATGCATCCTGCATCATTCAATATCTTGCCCATAGAATCCTTCAGTATTGCAACTCAAGGTGTGGACTTTTTCTTTGGTTCTTTCAGCTTGAGAAATAC